TAGATAGATAGATAGATATACACAGAATGAGAGAGAGAAAGAGAGAGAAAGAGAGAGAGAGAGAGAGAGAGAGAGAGAGAGAGAGAGAGAGAGAGAGAAAAGAGAGACAGACAGACAGACAGGAAGAGACAGAAACAGAGGCCGAGAAGGACAAAAAGGAATTAAAGAGGAATATAGAACATTAGCAAAGTAATGAGATTGAACGGAACGGAAGTAAATTATAGGTATACAGACTCTTCCTCAGTAAATTAACGTAGCTTCTTCAGTCCCAATACCCAGCTTTGCCCAATCATCTTAAGAAAAGCGGCAACGCGTCTTCAATAAAACGGTGGAATGGAACACTTGTAAAAGAAATTGAAACTTTCCTTCATAGTAATCAGCAAGTGTCTGATTGCTCTAAACAGTGCCTGCTTGTCAATCATTTTTTAACCAGTGCTTTTTTTTCAGAAGCCAAAAATGTTTGTACCTCCAACAATAATATGTATTTGCAAGCAGGACATTAAATGATAACTGTCACTACTTTGGTGATCCCCATTGCTCACCAAAAACAATAAATACCAAAATCGCCCTCTAGAAAGCGATTCCACGAGGTTTGCCTTGCGCTTCTCTGTATAGAAAGAAGTTGGAACATTTAATTTTTCAGATAATTCTCGAGTTTCAGTTGATTTGCGGCCAAGAGGAAATAAACTGTATGTTCCTGTTCCCTGTGTCAGATTTCATATAAAGACTTGGTCGCTTTGCGTTAGTTGCAAGTAATATTATGAACAAACTCGAGCCTTAAATGCTTTATCTACCAAATACAAACTAGGTGAATAAACTCCATTTACTGCTAAGGACTCGCTCCCTGCACGCAACACACCGATCACTTAACCACCCCTACAGCGTAAACCCCATCAACTACATGAGCACCGCTAACAATAAAAACCTAAACCCACAACATTAACTCCGTCTACAACAAAAAAGCCCACCCACCATGTAAACCTCACCGAAGACATAAAGCCCCGATTAAAGCACAAACCACATCTGCTACGTGAGAAGCCCCGCCCACAACACAAACCATATCCCATCCACCTCGCAAATCCCACCCCAAATCACGCCACAACCTGCTCCACACCACAGAAGCTACGCCCACAGCACAAATCACTCCTATAACGTAAGCTACACCGTTAACGCAAACCACAGCCTATCCACCACGTAAGTCTCACCCACGCCACAAACCATGCCACAGTACAGAAGCCCCGCCCACAGCACAAACCACACCTACCACAGAAGCCCGGGCCACAACACAAACCACACCTACCACATAAGCCCCGCCCACAACACAAACCACACGCTTCACCCACCACCACGTAATTCCCACCCACCCATGCCACAAACCACCCCACACCACAGAAGCCCCGCCTACCTGCTCGCGTGCTCTCTGCTCCTGCTGCTGTCGCTGCCTGTCTAGCTCCGCCTCCTTGAAGTTTCCCTGCCTCTCCTGCTCGTCTTTTCGCGCGGCGCCCTGGTCCTGTGAGTTGGCATCCCTGAACACCTGCTCGTCACGTCTGTCAGACCGCTCGGCGCGCTGGTCCAGGACGTTTGTCTGAGATTGGG